GAGGTCAAAAACACTATTTGTTACAATTTATATATATATATATATACATGTTTTGTTATTGTATACATCAATGAGGGCTACTTTAAATGTTATTAAGTAAATCAAAATACCACAGTACCCTAAAAACACAAGTGTCCAGTAATATAATTTTTGTAAAATAAAATAAAATGTTTTTAGGGTACAGTGGTATTTTGATTTACTTAATAATATATATATATATATACATATATATATATATACATACAGTATATATACACACACACGAAAATCCCCAAAGCCAATAAATTAAGGAACTCATAGAATGCCTTTCCGATGTGATGTGAACAATAAAGGACAAAACGAACGTTTGACCCAAATATCCACGTCTGAGAAATTGCTGGAATGGGGCAAGACGCTGGTAGAATAGTAAATCGCAGTCGCAAACTGGGGCCTACAATGGCCACCTCCGATATATACAGGGTGATTGATATAAGTGTGCCAGCTTTTTTATTCGAAAGTTATAAAAGATATCAAAAAATGTTAAATTGTAACTGCCTAGGATTTTTTATTTAAAAAATGTTGGTCCAGTTGAAATAATTATTTTAGCCGCCATTTTCCCAATATGGCTGCTAACATTGATTTTTGTTATGGAAGACCCTATATTTTATGTCGTTTTTAGAAAGTAAATGCCATTTAAAACGTTTTTATTCTTGGATTTTTTCTCTTAAACTACTCATTTAGGAGTTACAGCGTGTTTAAACTAAGAAAAAATGACTTGCAGTGTACATTCTGCACTGTAGCTCCTGAATGAGCGAGATTAAGAGAGAAAATTGTATATTATGTTTTTAATGGTCTTTTAAGAATGTAGATGGAATTTTAGATTGACACCACTATTGGTCTATATATTCACAGTAAAAGACAAGAAACAACCTAATTATTGTTTTTACATCTATAAGTATAAAAGAGGATGTTTGTATATATACATATATATATATATTTGGCAGTGATAAACTCAGACACCGCTGAACCGATTGCCACGAAACTTGGTACATACGTGTAGAATTTCATGGAATAGGTTTATACACCATCAATTTCGTGATCCGTCCAATCGGCTCCGCCCCAGTGGCTCTGGAGTTTCCCATGTTAACCTTATGAGTACTCATATTTAAATGGAATTAATGAATCTTAACAGCTGTTTCAATTAAACAAGTTGGTTCTGTTCTATGATGATCGATAGCATTAAAGTTACAAGGATTACCAACAGGGTGCAGCACTATTATTTCTTTTAAATTTATGACAACAGCTAATTTGCAACCAAAAGGTGAGTAAGCGTAGCGAACGAACTTCAACCTGGAGGCGAGTTAGCGTAGCGAACGAGCTAACCTGAAGGCAAGTGAGAGTAGCGAACGAACTTCAACCAGGACGTGATTGAACCATGCGAACGAGATCATCTTGAAAATTAAGAAGTTAAACGGGGCAAAGCCCGCGGGTTACGGCTAGTGATTCACTAAAAGTATGTGAAAATTTGAGTCAATTTTCATGCTGTAGGGCCTAAATTAGTGTTTTACTGAAGATTAGTCAAGTGTGGTTTATTATTGTGAAGTTTATTGTACCACATGCATAAACTACAGAGATCACTAAAGTTCTATTGGTTCATCAACAGATAAGGACTTCAGCTAACAGAACAGAAAAAAACATTTTACACAATATCTTTTGATAAGCTACATGTAGGTCAACGGAAACTGCTATATGTATGTTCTTTGTTGAAACAGATATGTTTTTACTTTCAAAGTTAACCAGACAACATGCTGAAGTAAATGTCCAACCTGAAGAACTTTAATGTGCACAAATAGTCTTGCCTCGTTCCTGTTATATTTTTCGAGTGACTGATGAGTGACTGATGAGTGTATTTTAACAAAGTTTTGACTTGTTCGAGAGGTTTAAAACTCTGTTGAAGAGTTGAGAATGGACGTCTGGTGAAGTCATGCAACAGCGATCGATTTCAGCCTCTGTACTTGTAGTTCTCGTAGTCTATACTAATGGACTGATCAGGGATGTCTTTATACAAAAAAACATAAATAAAAATAAATAAAAAGTAATAATTAAAAAAAAATAAAAAAATAAAAAAAATAAAAATTGCAAAGTAATTACAAATAAAAAATTGAGATACCCTGGATTAGTACTGTACCCATATATACACAATTTTATCAAAATCAGACTTTTAAAATCAATGCGACTGTTGGGATAAAACAATGCATTGGATGCAGCCAAGTCTGTTTGGACTTTTTGCTTGTGAGTGAAGAGAAAATGCACCTTTGTTTTTGTTCTAGTGACTTGAGCAATTGTCAATAACCGAACAGCTCAATAAATCTTGAATCTTGAGTAGTAATTCATTCATACTAATTCTAGCTTCAATTTAGTAAAACATATAAACTGAAATCAGACTTTGTTATGAGTTTCTGAATATTTCATCATATCTATTCGGCCATTTTGCACGATAAAATGCAACTAACAACAAAGACACAGTTATTTGCAAAAAACAAACCCGAAACTTAACAATATCAGAAATATTCAATGAAACTCAAAACTTACGTAGATTGTGTTCATTTCCTAAATTCAGCCATTGTGGTTTCCTGAGAAAGTAATAGTTTAGTCATCAATACGGGCCGAGACAGGCGCGAACGTGCACGAACTTGTTGATCGGCTGGCGAGGCCGGTAATGGCACGCACAAACATGTTTACCACGCCTGCACGACCATTCAAAACAGAGTTTATTCTATCTGTATCATTAAATCGCATTTAACTAAAACAAAGATTCCGCAAGCAGCAGACTATAACATAATTTTTATCAAAATCGTTCGGGCCATTTATGGGAAATTCCTATTTTTCCATTATTTTATGGGAAATTCCCCATTAAAAATAAAAATTTCTAAAAAATTAAAAAAACTATCAAAATTGTAAGGGCCATAACATACTATGTTAAATCAAAACCGGATGTTTGTCTAAAATCCTATTTTTCGTTATTTTATGGGGTTTTTATGGGAAAATAACATAATTTACCATAACTTTTGAACCGTAATTTTTACAGAAATGGGATTTGTACCATTTTGTTCAGAATTTACAGGGCTACAACATACTAAATTTTTATCAAAATCGTTCGGGCCATTTTTGAGAAAATCATATTTTTCCGGTTTTTATGGGTTTTTATGGGAAAATCCATAAAAATCAAAATTTAAAAAAAATGAAAAAAACCGCCTGGAGATATCATGGATTAGAACCTACATACCAAATTTCATCAAAATCGAACCACAGGTGTAGTCTCTAGCTCTGTACACATCCAGACACACACACGCACACAGACATCACTTCGAAAACCACTTCTTTGGGTCCAGGGGGACCCAAAACGAATATATCCACTCAAAAATCAAACTCGAAAATTTTGACGAAAACAATACTTTCTCCATATACTATGGCGCAGAAAGTAAAAATCAGAGTGCACTGAATAGTCCCAATAGAGATTTTAAAAATCAAACGAGGGTATTATCCATCCAATTCCAATTATAAACCTAAATTGATTCTCCTTTTCTCAAATTACGAAACATGAGGTAACGGCAGTTTCCTGGTCGCAAGTAACCTTTTGATTCGCAATTCACGCATTGGTGCTATTATGCGGATTCAATGTGAATGTACTTCGTCTTCTACTTTTCGATCATTCGGATATATGACTTATATACGAGCTGTATTCATTAATCACTCTAACAAATTAAATTCTCCGGTTGGGGCAGATAAATGACCAAGTGTGGTTGAAATTCAATTCTTCATCACTTTATCATCTTTTACATGTATCCACCGTATTTGGAATGTTTTGAATAAGTTTTCAATAAGTATACAACGGAAAGAGTTAGAAGACATTTTCATCATATTCGTATACTGCACAAAACTTGTTTAACAGGTAAAAACAGGTTGCTACACGAAAAGGTAAAAAAAGCGGAGAAGACAAATCGCAAAAAATGATTTATTAAGGCAGGACTCGAGGAAGGGAGAGTTTGCCTAATCCTGTCAAGTGTTCTTGGTCCGACCTTGCTATATTTCTGTACATGACGTCACTAGATATAAAACAGCTGATTTATCGCAGCTAAGACCAGCCAGCTGATCGATGAAGCTTACACGGACGCCATCGGATATGCTTTGACTTCCGAGCGACGAATAAATCAACAAACCTGGAAGGATTACTTTTATGTCTTCCGTGCTTTCCCTCCCTACCGCCGTTTCGCTTTTCTTTCAAGAAGTTATCAATTTCACTTTTGCCGTCTGTGATTGTGTGTTGTTTTGTTTTGATTATACTTACGCGTTATGTGATATTCTTAAATTTTACTCTAAACTATACAATTGATATTAATTGTTAACGTAGTATTTTTTAAACTTTTGGTTACCTCTACCAAACTGAGTTATACTCGTATAAAAATTATCGCCTTTAAGGCATATTAATGATTGCATAATAAACCAATTTACATGGCTCTTACTTTTACAAGCAAATTTGTCCATTCTATGTTGTTCTACACATTATAATATCCTAACGGGAGAAGGCTAGGAAGTAAACTATTATGTAACTATTATAAAAACTATATATTGATTGATTTAGGATATTTACAGTAGACTTTTCATACCTACTATCTAAGATTATGAAGCCTGTTATGATATCATCCTTCACCTCTTTAGTCAATTAAATGTTTTCCAAATGTCATGTAAATGGTTCACAACCTCCTCTAATACAACGCTGCGGCCAACAATGTGGCAACGCCGCACTATAGTTAAACAGGAAAGACAAGTTTGTAAACATTAGCATTGCGCAGACGCTCCATATGCTGCTACAGCTGTCTCGGTAAGCCGGGATTGCGACGTTGCCACTTTTCTTGCCGCGGACTCGTATTAGTGAAGGTTATGTTCTACTTCCTAGAGTGACAAAACTATCAAGGAAAATATCCTATGAAAGCTAACTTTGAAAACCCTTAACAACTTACCTATCCACATAATCGCCGAGGAAGAGATAGTTCGCCTGAGGTGGGTAGCCTAGTTTGTCAAAGTGCCTCAGTAGATCGTCAAACTGGCCGTGGATGTCGCCGACAATATTCACCGGAGACTCCAGCTCGAGCAGCATGGGTTGTTCCAGGAGGATCTGCCGCGTGGCAGCGCACAGCTGACGCACCTGCCATTCTGACAGCGTCATCTGGAGACAGGAAGAGAGGAAATGAAAATGCCAATCTGGAAACTAAAATTGTGGGGAGGTTAGGTAATGGTTTATTCTTGTAAAATAGGTAGTTATAGTTGTTTTGTGCATGTATGATAATATAAAATAATACATTTTGCAAATAAAGAATGTGTATTATTATTCAACACGAGTCAACATCACACACAACAACCATATATTATAAAATATAGGTATGTTAAATGCAAATAAATATGAATGACACTAGATCCTTCCTCATTATTATTTTACTGATATCGCTTACTGGTGGTCTGATAGTTCTGATTAAAATTCTTATTTGACCATCATTGTAATTTGGCTGCACCCTCATTCTACATTAGACATAATCAGAATCATCATTCTCTTTTCTTGGTAGGGGAATAAGATCTTTTTTCGTCTTACATCATTTCCATTACTCAATGATACTATGTAGGATCGAGGTAGATTGGTTGTAGTTCTTATTGTTCCTTTTGCACTTATATCCTTAACCCAGACCCTCTCTCCTACTGCTAAAGGTGGAAGTTCTTTGACGCCTCTTCTGTTGTCAAAGTTCTTCCTAAACCGATCAATTTTTTTTTCAAAGTTTCGAAAGGATTCTAAAGGAAGGATTCACTTCAAAGTCGTTGAGAGAAGGTAAAGTTGTTCTAAGACACTACAGTGCATGATCAAAAATTGTTACATTTTGTTCTATTATTTCGTCTTTTTTGGGCAATTGAAGAGGCTAGACGCGAAAGATATCACTCCACCAGTTTCAAATTAATGAACAGTTATAAATTCAGTTGGACTAAAAGAACGTAGTGGTAATTATTGTAGAATGATTGTATGTACAAATGAATAGTAATGACGACATTGTGTTTTGTTATCGGAAATATGTTATTCGTAAAAATCAGTGGAGTTTTCAAAGGAATTTGTACTGCTAATGTACTTTGCTACAACATGTGGGAAAATAAAACTCTTCAGAACTTTCTACAACTTAGTTATATTTTACACTTTTAAAAAACAGGACAACAAAACGAACCTTCTCTAAACATTAATTCAACTCAACACCCATTAGTCACCATGACAACCGAAATATCCAAAATCGTAAACATAAAGGACACTAGTCAGCTGATGCTAGTTCACAGCTACACGCCCCCGTGGCGTCAACACCACCACACGCCCTCGAGGTGCCGACACAACTTACACTTTCATTTTTACTTTCAACTACTTTTCGCACATCTGCTATGTGATGAGGCCTGCCATTTACTTCAACACTTCTGGGTGAAAACTGTCCAGTAACCACTCCTTCCTTCCATCTCGAAGTACAGGATGGGTTTGGCGGCTTGACATACACATGTTCACCTACTGTAAAATGTGACCCTTCATACACTTCACCTTTTACAGGTTCACCTTTACATCGCCATTGGTACGAAAAAATCTGGGAACTCGGCAATGAATCACCACCTAATCCTTCTTTAGGTGTCAAATTGTACCAATAGACCATTTCTTGGATACTCCCTTTAGTTCATGCGGCCATACGCTTGATTGTTCTGTGGTTTCGCTCAACTATCCCGTTTCCACTTGGCCGGTTGACACACCTAAACACAACTTTAATACCCCATTTATCACAGAGCTGAGTAATCTCTTCGCATCGAAATGTTGCACTATTGTCCATCAAAATCTCATGTGGTGGCCCTCGATCAGTAAACAATTCCAACAACACTTTAGAAATCTGATCTTTCGTCTCTTTTGGGATCCGGCGCCAAATGCAGAACCTACTTGGACCACAGTCCACAATGGTCATGAACTTACTTTGACTATAGTGTGTTACGTCAATGGCAAGCCTATACCAATTGTTCTGGCAATCCAAATACCCAGGCTCCCATTTGATGCTGGATGGATCAATTGACAGACACTCTTTACAACTTTTCACAACTTCTTCAACAACTTTTGTGGTAAAGTTAATGTCTGGGTGACACCGTCTGGCGGTGAATAAAGTACGGTTAACACCAAAATGATGCAAGTCATGAACCTGTTTCACCAATGTCTTTTGGTCCACACTCTCATTCTCACACACAAGTGCAATGCTAGTCTCTTCGTTTCTTGCTAACCATTTTTTTGGCACTCTTGTAAGAAGATCTGCTTTGTTGAACTGTGACTTAATGAGTTCTATTTGTACATTGAGACCGCATTCCAAAATAATGTCTTTAAATAGGCTTAATCGTCTTCTAACCAAAACTTCACTTAACCCATGTGTTTTGATAGGACGGTCCCCCGTCAGTATAGATGACACCCAAGCATGAACTGTCGCTGAATCCGTGATTAATACGATCTTCTTTAACCCCCAACGCAGGGCCAAATTTACTCCTTTTAGGATAGCTTCCAATTCTGCTAAATTGATATGTGCTGAATCATGCTGCTTCCTCAGCCACGAAGCATCTTCGACTATCTCACCTTCAATTTCTAGACAAACTCCGATCGCTAGACTGCTTGCGTCACACCACACTTTTCCTTCTTCTCCAGGGGACACAGCCCATTTGCCAGTGGCTGGGTCTCTTTCATCGATTCGATCCATAATATTGGTTAACATAGTTTGCGCACGTTCACTGATCAAATCATCCCACTTCAGATCCGACAAATGTCTCTTAACGAAACTACATGCAGGTCGAAGCCAGCTTGCTACTGGATAGTGTCCAATCAATTGCCCACACAACGAGAAAACATCTTTCTTTGTTTTAACTTGGTCCAAAGGTTTTAATTTGTTATCTCTGTACCACATTAGCTTACATCCTGCTCTTCTCAGCCTTAGTCCCAATACTCTGCCTCCATCAAGCGTTTCTGCCGGCTTTGCTGTCAAACCATATGTTTCCAACAGTCTAATCACAACATCACTACTGACGATTTCTTCATTAACGACGATGTCATCGACATATGAATCGGTGGCACTCCTAACTATCGGATCCATCGATAAAACCTTGTTAACAATACTGCTCATAATCTTTGGGGCAACGTTTAACCCAAACCCAAGTCGAGTTAAACAATAGTTTTCACCCTTAAATTTGACAACTTGAAATTTCCACAAATGTGGAGCAATATGAATTTGCAAGTACGCTTTACGAAGATCAACTGTACTCACATGTTCACCCAATCGTCTCCACAATCTTAACTTTTCACTACAAACCTCACTTCCAGCTGTATGGATTGAAACGAATTGGTTAAGTTCTCTATAGTCCATTACAGGCCGCACTTTATCCTTATTTTGCTGTATGACAGCCATCAAAGGAATCACACCTTCAAACTCTCCATGATAGGGCTGCAGCCAACCACTTTTTATCCATTCTTCAACTTCAGTTTCGAAGGCTTCGGTAGCATTCTCAGGAATTCTGTACATTTTTACTTGATTTTCCAACATAGGCAGTCTGTTCACATCCTTCCAATTCCATTCCACTGTCCATTTTCCATCTAAAAATTCTGCCTTAAAATCACAGTCTTCAATAATGATTTTCTCTGCAGATTTCTTATCAATATTAATTTCTTGCTTGGATTCGATCTCCCTGATGATTTTCTGGTCACCCTTTTTAAATTCTACGCCACCATCCCCCTGAATCGTAACTCCACCCATTGCAGAAATCGCATCCATTCCTAATAGCACCTGATAGTTTGGCAATAATCGAGCAACTAAACAGTTTAATGATAGGTGAATCCCACTAACGGACACCTCTGTCTCACACATTAAGTTACAGTCTACTACGTCCCCGTTCATCATTACCACTCGTTGACTTGTGGGCCTTATTAGTTTCTTAGACCTGACAAGACTCGGTGAGATAATAGTTCTTGAACACCCCGTATCTAATAATGCACAACACTTAGTTCCAGCAACAGTTACCATCAACGTCGGCAGTTGTGGTTGCGCAGTCAAACAAGGATAGCCACCCGCGCAACAAAGGGTGGCCCCTTTTACTCGTTTTTTTGAGCCTGTGAACACTTTGGAGCATAATGTCCTGCTTCTCCACAGCGGAAACAAATTACATTCGAGGTGCTACTCGGCTTTCTTTTGTGGGCATGATCTTGCTAGATGTCCTTCCGAGTTACAGATAAAACATTTTTTACTATACTGTCTTTTATTTACGGACACTTCCATCTGAGCGGCGGCTCCAACATTGGATTCACTTCCATTCACTAAACTTCTCGCCCTTTCTAACACTTTTGACAGCTCCATGTCTTGCAAACAACATGCCGCCTTTAACTGATTTTGAACTTCTCTGGGTAGTCCGTGAACAAAAGAACTCTTTATCCACTCGTCAGAAACTGAAGAATCTATTAATTTAGCCAACCTTTTCAAATCAGATGCGTAGACATCAACAGATTCTCCTGGAAGCAAATGTCTGGATATGAACTCCTCATACGCTTGGAAACAGTTAGCAGAGAAAGCCTGCTGCAAAGCTTGGGTCAGGGCGGAGTAATCACTCTTAACTGCGTCGGTAAGCCCATTGTAGACGGCAAATGCTCCTCCAGACAAAAACAAGGGAAGCACTGATTGTAGTTCTTTAACCTTCTGAAGTTTACATACAAGCTCTAACTTTTTCAGCCATTCCGAGAAGTCTCCTTCGCCATCATACAACTTTACCAAATCCGAAAATCTTGTACCGTTTCCAGACATGCCGAAATAGCTTGTGGGAAAATAAAACTCTTCAGAACTTTCTACAACTTAGTTATATTTTACACTTTTAAAAAACAGGACAACAAAACGAACCTTCTCTAAACATTAATTCAACTCAACACCCATTAGTCACCATGACAACCGAAATATCCAAAATCGTAAACATAAAGGACACTAGTCAGCTGATGCTAGTTCACAGCTACACAACACACCATATTTTCTCCTAGAGATAGAACTATGTAATTTCTTAAGCCCAATTTCGCATTTATTGAACACGACTATTACAGTACTTTCCTGACGAAATAGTACATTTCTGGTACATTAGTATATTTAAACATAAATT